GTCCAGCCCTTCTCTCCATATGGAAGGAGAAGCGGGTATTGGAGTGGATCATAATCGGCGTGAGTCTCATACAAACGTAGCAGCCTTTGATCGCGTGTAAAGAGAAGTAGATCCCGAGGCTGAGCCAGGTTGCCATCCTCAATGAGAGTCGCAGCCACTTCAGACACAGTGGGGCGGTTATGCGTCCTTGGTCGCGAGGAGTTATCATGCAGACGGAAGACCAAGTCTACTGGAGTCTCCGTGTTGTGTTGACGCACTTGCTGCCCAAAGTGGAGGAACCGTTGCGCTAATGGGTTGTGCTCTGCCATCATTTTCTCGATGTCTAGTAGTGCAACACGATCCAGATCCGCGAATATACCAAGACGTCGCTCCGCGCGGCGTTGCATGTCTGGATCCACAATGTAGATCTGCGCAAACTTGGGTGCTACTCGCGCGCCTGTCCGACGGTCTATGTGGGGGAGGAGAGATCCTAGGTAGTGCCCCATAGCCCCTTGAATGCGATATGTGTACACCCCGTGTGTACCCGCAACGCTCTCGTCTTGATGCACATTTTGAAACGATCGGTTTGAGCACGAAGCACCAATCGATGTAAATGCGAAGGCTTGGTTGTAAGCACGAATTTGACGGCGGAACTCGGGATCTCCGTACAGCTGAAGCAGCTTCCGTGGCGCGGGGTGCAGTGGAGGCAGATTTACCCTGCCTGCGAGACAGCATGATATCGCAGACTCCCCAGGCCACTTCCAAGCATTGCAGATCGGACAAACTGTTGTAGCCGGGAGCTTGTGTCGCCTGTTGACCACGTGGTCACCTGTTATCATGGACGCGTCGAAGTCTTCGAGGGAAATAAGAGCATGTCCATGACGGACACATTGTCGTCTAGTGCGCACCCGCTCGAGCTCGTACTGGCGCTCGTCTTGTGTCTGCTCAGCTCGTCGATCAGCATGCCGTTGTCGGTCCAGCTCGCGTTCAGCATCTCGTTCTTGTCCCGACAGATCGGCCCGTCGATCGGCGTGCTGGTGGCAGTTTAGCTCACGCTCAGCGTCCCGGTCTTCTTGTGGTAGCTCCGCTCGGCGAACTGCATGCTGTTGGCGGTTTAGGTCGCGTTCGTATTGTCGCTGCTGTTCATTTAGCTCCGCCCTGTGTGCTGTTTGCTGCTGCCGATTATTCACTCGTTGTTCGTGAAGATCTTCTCCACGTAACCGAGCTCTTCGGGCACGCTTGCGCTCTGCGTCCTTTTTCCTCGCACGATCACGCTGAGAGAGTGACATATTAGCTCGTCTTGTGCGAGATCTCTGTGCGTCGCATGTACGGTCGCGATCTGTCTGAGACAGTGTCCTGTTAGCTCGTCTTTCGCGAGATCGTTGCGCAGGTGACACCGGAATCGCTTCTTGAACAGGAGCTGGAGGTATTAAAAGCACTGCCAATGAAGCCACCTCGGTAGCTCCCGCTTGATACGCTGCCTCCATCTGGGCCGCAAACCGGCGCTGAAATATAACAGGATCGGACTCTTCCGTCTTTTCCTCCCGCTCTTCAAAACGGCCAGCTTGACCTTCCGTAACTTCCGTAACCGCAGTTGCTTCTTGGTGCACACTGAGGGCTTGAAGCGCTTTGTTCAAGTCGCAGCGCTTCCTCCTGCGCTTGTTCATACGTCGCTTCCGTGCTTCCTTCTCCTCTTGCATGGGTGTCGCATTGATCAGTTCATTCTCGCGCAGAGCCTCCTCAAGTTCTTCCCGCGTCCTTTTTCGCTTAGTTCGAGCCATCAGCCTGCGAACACGAAAACGTGACGCGTTAGACATAGTCTAAGTACACCGCACGTAGCAGTAGTTTTCATAATGTAGGGTGTGGGGACATCTGCGTACTACCCGGGATTGCTTGCTCCCATCAAGGTTATCTCCGATCACTTATCCCACAGTCACGGGCCGTGAGGTCCGGAGCGGTTTTAGTTTGCAAATTGTGCAGTCGAATCTCCAGGGTTGGGCCCCCGGATAGTACTGTAGCTTGAGGTGCGATATCCTTTTGCCAAAAAGGCGGCCGTTAATTGCAAAGGCTGGTTATTGATAGGCTATTACAGCCCCCATCCCATCTGTCGGTTAAAAGAGGCCAGTTACGGTACCCCTCCTGACCAACTGCACGCACGCAATGTGCGTGCCCATCAATAACCATTAACGACCGGCTCAACTGGTTCGCTGTCGGGTTTGCGGTCAATGGACCAGGTGCCAAATGTGCTCTCGCGCAGAGTGGGCGGTGGGATAAAGCCCCAAGAACCCAGAGGGCTCTGGAACTAAATCCCCATAGCACGGCTACCTACTTGCAGGATAAAATCCCGCAAGCTATAAGCTACCCCCTAAGCAGCCCCAGGAACCTCGGACTATCTGTGTATGTGTGTCTTGCTAGCTACTAATGCAAACTAACATGCATACACGCAGCGTACCTTGAGTAACGTGGCGTTCCACGGCTTCCGTTTTGAAAATGGGGGCAAAATGAAATTTGAACGGTGCTTTTAAGTACGATGTGTTGACCACATACAGTGTGTACACCACATAATTCGATTCTAGCCAATCGAGGCCGCCTTCGCTGCGCTCGGCAGCCAGTAGAACGCGCGTATTAGCGTGAGGATTATTAACCCTAGCCCGTTACGGACGGACTGACGGACGGACAGACAACACACTCCACTAGGGGGGTAAGATTTTTGTCGTGTATTTGCGTCGCAAACCGCACAACGATTTGTACCGTTGTGCTCACAAAATGGTCACCATGATGATGCTGCACAAACTCTACGAGCTTAGAGTGCACTATTTTTCGAAGACAATGGTGCCCATAATGAAAGCTGTACATTATGTTTAAACAATATCTACGCAAAAAAGAGTACTGGTATCCTTTTACAGAGTTGCGTGAGGCCTCGCTCCTGTATCAATTCGGTGCAGGAGCGAGACTCCAGCCCCACTTGTAAGTAAGTGTCTGGGTTGCTGACTAGGATCTCCTCAAGAGCACCTTAACGTCACTAGCCAGCCTGTACCAACGCTGTCACGTACGTTGGCACTGCCACACTTGTCGTAAATCTCTGTTAGTGAGGTTGAACATTATTGGGACCGCAAAAGATGCTTACGAACCAAAGTACGAATCGCAATTAAAGGCCAATGCTCTGCAGTATATTTAGCTACTTGTCTAACACTAAGGCCGTGTTCGATTTAAGCTAAAACCAGCTGTAATTGGTATTAAAGAGCTGGAATGTCTCAACCAGCTTTATTCCGCTAAGAAACACAGAAAATGACATCCAGCAGGATAGCTCCAAACGACTGGTTTCAAAATTTAGCTTTGGGTTGAATTTTGAATCGTCCTGCTTTGCGCCTTCAAATCCAGTCTTTTTCTGATGGAACACGATCACTTATTTTATCTTTATTTTACTTAACAAAACGACTGTTCTACAGCTCTAGCTTATTTTTGAACAAGCTGGATTTGCCCCTGCAAGCCGAACACGGCCTAAAGTATGTTTTTGACCTCAATTTCCAGTCTTTTGATTCTGGTATTTTCGGATTGGTGTCGCGAAAATATTATTTTGATTAATTATTTTTGGTGAAATAAACTGTACAACTTTTATTTGATAATAATCTAAAAGCTCGGTGAGGTACGAAATAGATCAGTGGAAAACTCCAAATGGTTCGAAAGCTTGTCATTAAACTTACCACCAAATGCGCGGAAAAGAGAAGTTTGTTGCGACAAACCAACGGTATCGTCGTTTAGTTTTTTCGGGCTCAAACTGAGCATTTCCCTCGGATCTGTCTAATCGCGAGATTTGAAGCTCTAGTTTAAAGAAGACAAGCCAACGGCTCTGCACATAATTTTTATCATTAAAGGTGATCGGATGATAAAAGCATTAATACCGGTATATCACAGGTTTTAAGAAAGTGAAATCCTCAATTTAATCCAGAAAAGGTGTACAGCTCCGCACTCAATCTTTAGCACCAAACTTCTTACATGTACCGGTACTTAAGTATGCAAGAGAAGTGGGGCCGAAAATCCATCGGTCGTTCTTCGTGACCTCCACACGGTACATATGTATCCGGTGCTAATGGCACCTTTTGTGTCGTGCTGTCTGTTACAAAGGTGACACCGGGTTTTCCGTGCTGGCGATCCCGAAACCTAATGCTACGGTGTCCTCCTTATTCATTGAAGACCGTTTGCACCTCAGAGGAGAGAAAATAGGAGAAACACACGTCCATCGCTGGGATAACACACACGGGGCTGGGCGACGTGGGTGCCATAGCCGCGGCGCCAACTAAGGTGAGCGGGTGCGAGGCGCGTAGCCGCAGCAAACCCGCGCGGAGAGCCCGCGAAGCAGGGCCGCGCGGTATTTGCGGAGGCGGGCCCAGCGCTGAGCTCACCAGCGAGCCGAGCACTACACTTTCCAGAACATTCTATCTCCATATTGCGAGCGCAGCGAAGCGCGGCTGGTCCCTTTTCTGCTGTGACCTCTAATCGTCGATTATGTCCTATTGCGACACTCAGAAGGTCACAAGTATACATAAGTCAAGTCAAATGATTTGCTGTGTGCTGAAACAGTAAATACATGTGTTTGGCATGTTCTGTCCTCAGAGGATCGGCAGAGCAAGTTCAAAAAGTGGCAAGTGCCACTTTAGCAATGGGCTCATGCGCCATTTTACACTTGATACTAGCAATAACTCACACGAATGATTTCAAAATACAAATTTTGTCGAGACTTTTAAATGAATTAATTAGTGCCAGCTAGAGTCTAGCCTAGACCCTGCCGTTTTTAAGCCAAGTGGCGTACTCTACCGATTTCCTCAGACCGGCTGGCGAAGTCCGTGAGTAATACGTTGGGTTGTTGGCGCCTTACTGACGGTCCGTCAGTGACGGACACCAAAACTCTAAAGTTCAACATATGGAAACGTAGCATTGTGCCAGCTTCGTCCTGGTGGTCCTAGGCTGTACACTGCCTCGGAAAGTCCCTCATTCCCAATTTGCTTGTAATGGTCTACCCCAAAGCGTGCAAATATGCTCAGCGCGAAAGTCCTGATCTTCACCGTCGGTGTCCTCGCCGCGGTCGCGGAGGCCGCGGGTACCTGTCCGTCTATCGAAAACAACGTCGACTACAGTGGCGCCGACATCGGCAGCGCTCGTAGCTCGTCAGCGAATGGATGTTGCTCCATTTGCTCCAGCACGAATGGCTGCGGTGCGTTCACTTGGACCAACTACAACGGCGGTACGTGCTGGTTGAAGCAGTCCAAGGGCACTGGAAATGCCAGTAGCGGCTCCATCTCGGCCGTTCTCCAGACGTCGTCCTCGTCTGGAACCTGCCCTCCTCTGGAAAACAACGTCGACTACAGCGGTGCTGACGTCGGCAGTGTCCCCAGCTCGTCGGCCAACGGATGCTGCTCGATCTGCTCCAAGACGAACGGCTGCGGTGCGTTCACCTGGACGAACTACAACGGCGGTACGTGTTGGCTGAAGCAGTCCAAGGGCACCGTAAAGGCCAGCAGTGGCTCCATCTCCGGTGTGGTGCAGTCGTCGTCCTCCTCATCGGCCACTTGTCCGTCTCTGGAGAACAACGTCGACTACAGCGGCGCTGACGTCGGCAGTGCTCCCAGCGCCAACGCTAATGGGTGCTGCAACATCTGCTCCAACAACAACGCCTGCGGTGCGTTCACCTGGACCAACTACAACGGCGGCACTTGCTGGCTCAAGAGCTCCAAGGGCAGCGCCAAGTCCAGCCCCGGCTCTATCTCGAGCTCTGTCCAGAAGTCCAACACTGGCGGCAACACCGGTGGCGGCTGGAAGATGTCGCCCGTCAAGGTCGTCCAAGCCCGTGTCCAGGGTGACGCGCCTGTGTGGCACCCGGAAGTGGGTCTGTGGCTGTCCAAGTTCGGCACCAACGCGGAGCAGAACTACGTCAACAACCTGGACACCGTCAACACGGCGTCCGTTGAAGGCGCGCTCATGTACGTGCAGGCCGAGGGCATCAACGTGAACGAGCAGTCGGTCAAGTGCCGGCGTAAGAACAACATGCAGTACGTCGTCTTCTACGAGATGACCATCGTCCAGCCGACCAACAGCATCAAGTACTACGAGAACCACTCTCCTCCGGAGTACGGTGACTTCGTCGCTATGGACGGTGCCAAGTGCACGAACGCCGGCGCGGATATCCCCAAGAGCTGCAAGGTGTACTACGGACTGGACGGTACCAAGGACATCGGTCCGAACGTCGGGTGCAACCCGCAAGGGTCCGACCCGCGTGCGCCGTACCCGAACAACTACTGGTGCTCGTTCCCCAACTCGTGCGCTCAGAAGTACCGTGCGGACAAGACGAACGAGTGCAGAGCTCAGTACGACGGCGGTCTGTGCCCCATGGGCGTCCAGCCTGATGGCGTCAAGTGCACGTACAACTACAAGATTCTGGGCTACCTGAACATCGACGACCTGGTCGGTATCACGAAGATGGGCTTCCAGACCTACCAGCAGTTCTGCCAGAGCGGCGGTATTGAGTTCAAGGCTAGAAACACTGGCCGTGGCTTCGAGGTCGAGCAGTGCATTGACTTCTGGAAGAACCCGGGAGACCAGAACGCCAACGCTAACCGTGCCGCCCAAATGGTGACCACGTACAACCAACTGATCAGCAGTGGCAGGAGCCCCAACATGAGTCCTCTGCCTTCGGTTGAGAGTATGTCTGCGTCCAACCCCAAGTGCTACCAGAACAGTGCCGTGTGCGCGCGTGCCAGTTCGGATGCAAGCGCTCGCTCTTCTCGCAGATCTGCTCCGTGTGCTCGGGTCCGGATGCTGGATGTGAGAAGGCTCCGGCTGGCTACTCGTTCTCAACCTGACGCTACCTCTAGAAACTAAGCGTGCCCAGATGACATCTTCGACGTGCAATTCACACCGCGTCTTGTTCATAGGGATTTTAAAACTTTGTAGATGCTCCAATGACTGCTAACAAAACAGTACGTACGTTAAGATCATTTTCTTCCTAAAAGTTGTGCTGTTTCGTGTGAATGGATACCTTTCCGGTAAAATCTGTTGTGCTAATTATTTTTAATAAAACATGTTCTTCGAAGTACATGTACATTGTCAAGGTTTCGATTTTTTTATGACACACGGTCATTTTTTAACAGCCCTTCGAGCTTTTGGATTGCTCTTTTGTGTTCACTCTCGAAGCGCTGTATGCCTTCTACCTTTTGTTAAGTGAACCAGAAATTTGATTCCCTTAGAACTTTATCCTCTTCCATCTTTACATGTATTATAATAATATATCTTACTTAGGCAAAATGAGCCTTGAGCGCTTGACTTTGCGCCAAACACGGTGGGTGCATATCCAGAATGCTGACTGTTCGCGCAAGGTTTGTAGCTTTGCTTGACAGTAACCCTACATGTCTTATAACATACTACAGTAATTGTTAGCGTTTTTATTTGAAGAAAAAAACATTAAAAGTGGGTTGTGATCATGAGAGAGCGAAGGCTGCAAACAGTTTACTAAACTCGGCTCGACCATGACATCCACATTGTGTTGTTCCAGGAGTGTTACCGCAAGATTCCGGTGGCATGAAAGTTTGGGAATGATGCTGTGGATTTCGCCGTGGCCGTAAGATCGCGGGGTTCGTGTTGCGTCGTAGCCTGACCTCATCGATCGCCAATGTGGCACAACGCCATGTGGCTGCTTTTCTCACGTTGCTCTCCTTTCGTGTGTTTGCAAAACCTTTGATTAAGAATGAAATTGGATTTTTAGCTTCAAATCTGTCGTGTGGCGCCAGGTGGCCTGTCTTCGCATCTCATTTTTGGAACAGATGGGATAGGCAAGTCACGTACAAACACCAAATTGCTGAAATTCAACATCTGGCCCACGTAGTGCACCGAAAAATAGTCTCCGAACCTTCAGCGTCTGAAGTCTTTCCCGTCTTGACGACGCTCGTCGTCCTTGTGGTCTGTTGATTTCTGCCAGAGTCATTCTCCAATTTGCAAGCAGGTACTAACCGGCAATTGCAAATATGCTGAACACCAAACTTCTTGTCCTCACCGTCGGTGTCCTTGCCGCGGTCACGAAGGCCGCGGGTACCTGTCCGTCTATCGAAAACAACGTCGACTACAGTGGCGCCGATGTCGGCAGCGCCCGAAGCTCGTCAGCGAATGGATGTTGCTCCATTTGCTCCAGCACGAATGGCTGCGGCGCGTTCACTTGGACCAACTACAACGGCGGTACGTGCTGGTTGAAGCAGTCCAAGGGCACTGGAAAGGCCAGTAGCGGCTCCATCTCGGCCGTTCTCCAGACGTCGTCCTCGTCTGGAACCTGCCCTCCTCTGGAAAACAACGTCGACTACAGCGGTGCTGACGTCGGCAGTGTCCCCAGCTCGTCGGCCAACGGATGCTGCTCGATCTGCTCCAAGACGAACGGCTGCGGTGCGTTCACCTGGACAAACTACAACGGCGGTACGTGTTGGCTGAAGCAGTCCAAGGGCACCGTAAAGGCCAGCAGTGGCTCCATCTCCGGTGTGGTGCAGTCGTCGTCCTCCTCATCGGCCACCTGTCCGTCTCTGGAGAACAACGTCGACTACAGCGGCGCTGACGTCGGCAGTGCTCGCAGCGCCAACGCTAACGGGTGCTGCAACATCTGCTCCAACAACAACGCCTGTGGTGCGTTCACCTGGACCAACTACAACGGCGGCACTTGCTGGCTCAAGAGCTCCAAGGGCAGCGCCAAGTCCAGCCCCGGCTCCGTGTCAAGCAGCGTACAGAAGTCCACTCAGCCGTCGACTCCGACGTCGCCTTCGTCTGTCGACCCGGCCAACGCTCAGTACTCGCTGTCAGCCTTCGCTATTGGTGACTGGGGTACTACGACGTACAAGGGCTCGTGCTGCTCTCGTTCCAACACGTTCAACAACTACGATATCAACGCTGAAGATGTTGTGGCGAGCTTGATGAACACACAGGCCGGTAACTCCCCGGTGAAGCCGAAGCTGATCATCGGACACGGTGACAACTTTTACTGGACGGGTATCAACAGTCTGGAGGGCCGCGACTCGCGCTTCGCCACGACGTTCGAGGGAAAATTCAACGGCAACAACATCAAGACGATCCCATGGGTGAACGTGTTGGGTAACCACGACTACGGTGGTGCCAGTTACGTGTGCAACCAAGGAGACAACAACGCCCGATGCGCCAACACGGCTGCACTACTGCAAGGTCTGGACAACAAGTTCAAGTGGCAATCGGATTACACGAGTCCGAACGACAACCGCTGGAACCTGGACGACCACTTCTACGTGCGTCGTATCGAGGACCCTGCC